ATTATCGCGACATTTTCGCTCGCGAGATATTGCTGAAAACGCTCGATTTCATCAATTCCACACCCTTCCTCCGGAATCGTGACACCGGCATTCCTCGTAAGTTGCAACGCAAACTCGCGCTGTAACACCGAGTTTTGTCTTCTCACCGCATTCCATTTCGCGTGTAACTCTCCCGTGCGTAAATTTCCACGCTCGTTAAAAATTAGAGCCGATACAAGCGCGCGAGGAAGACATAAATTATCGGAATTGGAAATTGTTAAAATCGAGCGTTTAGCAATAACATCGTGCGTAAACCTGTTACGGCCGCGACCAATGGGAGGGGTGACTTTAAAAATCCGAATGTTAAATTCTTGCGCTATATCGTGTCCTCCGCAGCTTTGCGCTAACGAGCTTACGAGTTCCCAAATATTTTCGTAAGTCAAATCTCGCAAAGGTCGGAACGATATACCTGCGGGGCCGCGGGTTAAACTTGCGGAATCGAAAGATATGCCGACGTAATCTCTCGGTTCGCACGAATGCAACGCGTACTCGTGAAGTTCGCGAAACGCATTTTCTAACCACTCATACACGTTTGCTCCTTCGGGTATCGGACGAATACGGAAACTAATTTCCCGTCCTTCTACACCAAAAGTTCTAAAGCGACGCACGTTTTCCGCCAACATTATTAAATATCTAAAATTACCATCAGGCTCTTGATTCGCTATTTCTTCCTCCGCTTCTTCTTCTTCTTCCTCTTGTCCACCAGCAGCCTCTAAATGTCGCTCTTCGTCGGAAGTTTCCTCAGCGGAGCGGGTTTGGGAATCTTCTTGTTGTATTCTGACGTTCCTTCCCCCACCACTCTGTACTGTGAGAAATAAAAATTATATTAACAAAATAAAATATTTAATAAAATATTACTCTCTTACGTTTGAATTTTTATTAATAATGTGAAAATGTTGTTATTAATAATAATTATGTTAAGTTCACTTACGTTTTAATATTCTTTTACCGGGGTATTTGTATCACGCTGCGAGGGTTAATACTCCGGTGAATATGAAATTTCGGGCGCGATGTTAGGAGAGAAAGAAATTCCTAATAAAATTTTATTTTAATTAAAATAAACAAAAAATTTAAACGTAGGAGAAGATTAAGTATAAAATATGAAATTATTACCTTCCTCGCCCATTCCCCCGCTATTTTCTTCTTCTTCTTCTTCTACAGAAAACGTGGCGTTGTTATTTTCATCTTCCACTTCTTCTTCATCTCCCGTTTGTTCTTCTCGATCTTCCGGCTCTTCTTCTTCATCTTCCGTTTGCTCTATTTCTTCTTCTTCCAACTCTTCATCTTCCTCCTCCTCCTCCTCCTCCTCCACTTCCTCCTCCAGCTCCTCTTCATCTTCCGAAATCGTGTTTATTTCCTCGTCGATTTCCTCCCCCAGTTCTCGCTCCTCTACGACCACGTTTTCATTCGCCGCGTCATCTAATATTCATCGGTCATATATTATTAGTATTTCACATAATTAAAAAATCTTTTGTGTTGATATATAGCACTGTAGTATTTTTCTTACTTACTTTCAAGCGGAGTAAATATGGCCGCCTCATCGAACGGACTTACTTCGCGAACCCGCACCTCTTTCCACGTCGTTATCACTTTCGGCTAAATCAATAACCGGGTGTTCCAGCTCCGGCGTTAACACGATGCGTGCACGGCCTGGAACGTATATTATTTTTATTAAAAAATTTCCTGTTTAATATAATGTTTTCTAGCAGCGCAATATAATTTATGATGTTAAAAACTTACGCGAAGGTCCGGGCTCCGGCGAAGAATCCGCTCGTCGTCTTCTATTTAACCTTAATCTAAGTGATACGGGGCGATTCTCTAGTACGCGCAACCGGTTTCCTGTAACGCGTGCGACAGGGCGTACGAAAGCTAAAGTTTTAGCGATTTAAATAATTGGGGTAGTTTTAATTAATTTTTATTTATAATTAAGTGTAAAAAAAAAATAAAAACTTACCATTATTATCTTCTCCCCGGAGAACTCGATGAAAATGTAGGAGGAGATATTCTATGTGACCTGCTGCGTCGTTTTCTTTCTCACCACCAAAATAGTATCGCGACTCGATCACCTCACCCGCGATAATCACTAATTCGCGAAAAACACTAAAATGTCCTAGTCGGAATAATACCGCTAGCACAGCGTTGGGACATTCCCCCGCGAATTTTCCAAAAATTATGAAGCATTTGTCTTCACTCGCGCATGTTAATTCATATATATACTTGGAAAAATTTTTTCCGCATAAACTCTGCGCTAGTGATAGACAAATTTCAATTACTTTTTTCAAACTCATTATTTGAAATTTAATAGTACACTTGCGTCGAATACGTGAGTACGCGAGAGACGAAATTCAAAAATGTAGCTAGCTAACTTAACTCCGAGAGCCGTATTTATACGTTTATGGAAATCAAAATGGGGGATTTTCAGGTAACTTTTTCGATTTATTTTATCTTTTTTATCTTTTTTCTCATAGACGTGTATTCTTACCCATGTTTTATATATATATATATATATATATATATGGTAATCTTTACTTAGATACAGAAAATATTTAATCTAGGGCGATATTTACTTAATTACGAAAAGTTTATAGAAATCAAGATGAGGAATTTTCAGGTATCTTTTCTCGATTTTATTTTATCTTTTTTATCTTTTTTTTTATCTTTTTTTCTCATAGCCGTGTATTTTTACCCATGTTTTATATATATATATCTATATATCTATATATATATATATATATATATGGTAATATTTACTTAGATACAAAAAATATTTAATCTAGGACGTTATTTACTTAGTTACAAAAAGTTTATAGAAATCAAGATGAGGAATTTTCAGGTATCTTTTCTCGATAGCGATAGGAATTTTATATTTTCTCTGAAGTCAGATTTAAAATTATATCATTTATATTGCTTAAAAAATTCCCCTTCCACATTAATAATTATATCGTTTATATTGTTTAAAAAATTCCCCTCCCACATAATTTTTATTATACTACGCATGCATTTTCTCCCTATCGCTTTATTGTTTAAAAAATTCCCCTTCCACATTAAAAATTATATTATTTATATTGTTTAAAAAATCCCTTCCTCATAATTTTTATTTATCTACGCATACATTTTCTCCCTACCACTTTTCTATTTTATCTTCTTTCTTATAAATTTTCTTGAAAATCTTCGCTCACTCGTCTTTCATCGTCCGGACTTTCAAGTTCGTTAGTAAAAAAGTTTGTTAGTAAAAAGTTCTCGATTTTTCGATTTTTGCGTGTCTTTGATTATTATATCTTTGATTTTCTACGCGGTAGCAACTACCATGAACAATCTTAAGAAAATCGAGCAACAACCACGTATGTTGCTGTCAACAACATACGGATTGAATTCATCCTACACGAAGAAAATTCAAGTGGGTCTTATGACGGAAGACAACGTCGAACTGGATTTTCTGCCTGTTGTTAAATTAACATCTCACGGAGCTGTAGGAATTTGCTTCGACATGGAATCGTGGCAAAAATTTCAAGAAAACATGAAAACGATGTCGAGCTACTTAAACGGTGATAAAATTAATTTGAGTTCGATCATCTTTAACAAGATAATTGTAAATTTCACTACCGCATATGGTGCTAGAGCCATACTAATAACATATCGTGAAAACGAGCAAGAAGATCTTTCTTCCGAGACTGTGGAGGATACGAACGAAAACGGACCGAAGGCGAAGAAACGTAAAACTTACAACATTGCGATAGTCATGCAGAGAACGACTTTTCAAGGTGTAGAAAATATAGTTGATTGTGTGAACGCTAATTTAAATCGTCTAAATTTTATTTCAACTAATGTCAACGAATGTGCTCGATATTTAATTAACGAAATACAGTTAAATCTTCCTGTCAACGGTAGCATTAATAACAGTATCGTGAAACTCACGATCAGAGGTAACAGTAAGGAAATAGAACGTAATGTACGTACCCAACTGAAAGATTTAACATTTCTCGATGTATACTTTGAGATAACATTTTTAGAAATAATTTCACTTTATTTCGAACAAATTGTACATACAATTATATCAAAACGTAAATTTTAATAATTATTCGACGAATATTTTCTTGAAATGTTTGTGAATAATTTTGTTCTGTAAAAATATTTTAAATATAAATCATATTTGTACTTTTAAAACCATTGTTCAATTTTCTTTCACTTCCTCTTTCCAGAAATTTCCTCAACAACCATGTTTCTGTTTACCTTCATTAAGCAGCGAGTTATTTTAAAATAAAATTTTATCCGACATCTCTTCAACAATAAGCATTCTTTCTAATCTACGATGATGCATTATTTTTTTATCGTGACACGAGTCGAAATGCTCGCCAGTACAAATATTTGCGTGTTCTTTTTTTATTACCCTACGGCATTGTCAGTTACTACCTGCCACCGATCCCCGGTCGACCGCATGACGCTTTTCTTGGTCAAAATGTTTTTACCCCACCCCGTCTAATATCGACCATTTGATTCGACGAGCTATCCTTGCCATACGTATACCCTAGCTGTTTTTACCCCACCCCGTCCAATATCGACCATTTGATTCGACGAGCTATCCTTGCCATACGTATACCCGTACCCCCATACCGTACCCTACGCAACTTTAGCTTAAATACCTCATCTAATCCTTAGACTAGTAAGATCTCGTTTAGCTCAACATACTAGGACCCTGCTCGGAAACACGAAGGCACCAGGTTCAAATCCAGAGGAAATCAGAAAAATAAAAAAAAATAAAAAAATTCTCATCCCCACCTTTCGGGGCCAGTCGCCATTTTTTTTTCCCCAACACCCTCTCCCCCTACACCCACACTCGGAAAAACCAGACGCCGGTGGTGGGGGAAAGATAAGATAAGACTCGGCGCCAGACGGGTCGGTGGTGGGGGTTTGTTTTGACGGGCCATAGTGCCCACTATACTACTCATATTCTTGATATCTACCTTTTCTTTTATCAGTTTTTTTTGTTGCTTCACTCTCCTGTTGTACCTTGGGTTTGACAATTATAATATTTTCTTTTTTCTTCTCCTTAATTGCTTCAGTATAACTTTTCTGAGTTCCTCCTGCTGGTTCACACACTCCTCCTTGCATCATTTCTCTCAAGTCTTCTAGTTCTTGTTTAATGCATCCAAATTCTTCTCGAACTATTTCCTTGACCATTATTTTAATTTCCTCTTTATATGCGGTTTCGTCTTTTATTTCTTTCACAGTCTTCATAAGCCGATGTCTACGTGTCGCGTGAAATCTAATGTATGTAATATATGTAATGTATTCATATGTGTGTATGAGACAGAGTTTTAGCTGACTAAAACAAAGTTAACGTGAGAGAGAGAGAGAGAGAGAGAGAGCAAAAGTTTAATGAGTGACTTGTGAATTAATTTTAGATTTTGACGGTGACGATCTAGTAGCGCAAGCAGCTATTTTTTTTTACCGGCGGTTTTGAAACCTCTTCTACGGCTATGACTTTTACTTTATATGAACTCGCGATGCAACCAGAGATTCAAAATAAACTTAGGAAAGAAATTCTTGACGCTCTCAACAAAGCTAATGACAGTATCACATATGACATGGTACGTCGAAAAATTATTACGTATTTCATATAAAAATTATAACTGTTATCAATATAATATGTTATATTCTTTCCCTTAAGGAAATCCTAACGCTCTTCTGTTTTATTGATAATACGATTATTTTTGTTGCTTCCTTTTCTTTTTATTGGTTTTATAGAATCATTAATGCTTTTTCACGATTGAACTACATATAAAAAAGTTAGAACCTATTGAGTATGTTAAAAACAAAAAATTTTTAATTTTTTCCTTTTTTACGTAAAATTGATAGATTCCAACTTTATTTTTATATATTTACTTTAATCGTGGAAAATCACTTATTAATCCATTCAACCAATAAAAAGAAAAGAGTGCAGAAAAATGAGCATTTTTTCGGTAAAACAAGACGGTGTTAGTATCTTCTTAAACATTATCTTATTTAGGAATTTTACATTAGTTTACAAATCTGATAATCTCAGATCTTTTTATTTATATCCTGTTTATTTTCATTATATGGCGTAATGAATTATTATATTATATTATTATATTGTATATTATTATAGGTAAATATTTTTTTTATATCAATTAAAATTTCTATTCGCTCGTGTATTGTATAAAACAACAAATTTATCCAAAAAGGCCAACTTATCGAGCAATATTTAAGATGTTGTATCCAATTAAAATTTATTTCATAAACAATATATTAAAATTACAAAAAAACCTTCCATATAAACGTTTCAACCGCATGCGGTCTTCCTCAGTATAACAGTGTTACGTAATTTATAATTCTTACAAAAAAATCATCCTATTCTTAAACTTACTAATAGTCCGTTAATTCAAGTCGAGAATTTATTAGAAATTTATGCGTGTTACAATTTGTCATATTTAATTTATAAAAGTATTCGCCGTAATATGATCTTATGATGTTGGATCTCGTAAATTATTTCTTCGTTTCTAAGCGAGAAATTCTTAATATCCATAGGCGTTCGTGTCGCCTCTTCTCACAGTTTAACACAATTTTTTTTTTAAATTGAAATTATTATAAATAGATAAAACCAACAGTCTAACAAGACACCTCATTTTGAACTATCTATTTTTTTATGTTCCATATTTTTGCCATCATTATCTTGTAATAAATTTTAAATTAAAATTCTATTAAAGCATATTCTACTTAAAATTATTTGAAGAATGTAGTGTCGTTTTTTTAATATTTTAACTCCACAAAGTTTCATTTAGGATAAACTTTTTCAATCATTTATAATTTGAAAATTAGTTGTTTCGACTTTTTCGTTCAGGAAAAATCGTTTTCAAATTGTTAGAGAATTTGATGGAATATTCCATATATGTTTTTGCTATTACACTTTGTATATATATGTAAATGTGATGATTTCTTGTGTCAGGTAATGTCGCTACCATATCTGGATTTGGTGGTGTCCGAAACATTGAGGTTATATCCGACATTACCCTTCTTGGAGTGCATAACAACAGAGACCTACAAGATGCCGAATTCCGATCTGGTTCTCGAAAAAGGTACGCCGATTTATATATCGATGCTCGGCATGCATTACGATTCGGAATACTTTCCCAATCCGAAGAAATACAATCCAGAACGATTCAGCGAAGAGAACAAACGTAATATATCGTCAGGCGCCTATTTCCCATTTGGCGAAGGCCCGCGCCAATGCATAGGTAAGAGAATCACTTTCATAACAAAATATAATCACTTAATTTTTCATTATCAACATATTTCCAGATATAGGAGAGAGTAGGATAAATGATACAGCTTTTTATGTGTATATAAATTTTGCTTTCTTTCTCAAATTTTGCAAAATTGAAATGATATTTTTTTCTTCTTTTTAAGGGGACCCCCTCGACTGTCTGTTTTATCGACAAAATTATTATGTTTGTACTTCTAGTTTTTCGTCGCATTAATTTGGCAGAATTAAAAATGCTTCTCTACAATTGCAATACGTACATACATACATCAATGATTCGAGAAAGTTCCGATTTCATATAAAAAACGAAAAATAATTAAAAGATTACAGTTTTCATTATTTATTTTTATTTCGATATGGATTCTTAAATTAAAAATAATTCTTGAATAGCAAACGAGCTATGAACTCAGCATAATATATGCTTTATATAAAAAACATACATTTCGTACAAATATGAAAACAAGTTCCTTAGGATTGATGTAGGTACACAAAAAAAAGCATTATTACTCTCTAATTAAGTCTAATATAAAAGTATAGTTTGTATTACGATTCGTACGTGTGTGTTTGTGCGTTGTAGGTATAGTAAAGTGAAAAACAACAATATATATTTACGTTTAAATCTATAGTATTAAACGTAGCAAAAAATGACTCCATGAGTGCCATGTATACATAGATTTCTAATACATTTGACTTGGATAATTGATAATGTGGAATTCAAAATAGAGTTTTTGTAATACCGGCTTTTAGATACGATAAACGCTAAAGTCACGTTATTTTGATCGAAAAACAAATTGCGCAGTGCATCTTTCACCGTAACGCTATTCAAATAATGTGTGATGTTATTTTTGACTGAATAAGGTTTATAATTAACGTGAATGTACGACTACTGCAAAGATTCGATCAAAATAATGTGATTTTAGCGTTCACCGTATCTAAAAGACAGTATTGCAAAAACTCTTTAATATCAGTAATTATCTTCGAAAGTCAGTCGATAATTATCGATATTTTTCCAAAATAAGGGCGCTACTATACAGCATGAAATTTTAGTTAAGCTCAAGCTTTGTTGTAATTTTGTGCGAGAATGATTTGGCATTTTGTATTTGTAACAAAAACGCAGAGTAACGCATTTAAAAATTGGGATAAAATGAACGTCCAGAACGCTTTACCATTTTATCCCGACCGCTCTATTTTTATAAAAAAAAAAATGGCTACGAGAAGACTATCTTATTATGAATTTTCTATATTCATTGAAGTATATAGTAAAACTGGGTCTTACCAACATAATAACTTAATAATTTTTAATATCTCTCGTAATCACAGGATGTACAGTGAAATGAAACAAGAAGCTTACTTTATAACATATTACCTTATATTATTTTATATTAGGAGACGCGGTAGTGTCTCCGGCCATGTTCAAACCTAAAAGACCTTAATTCAAACTCTAAAGACCTTAAAAGACACTACAAGTCTCCTTATCCTGCACCATCAAAGTCCATTTTTTGGGGGTGTAGAACTACTAAAATAAAAAAATTTTGAAATGCACGTAATATAACCTGAAAGGCGGCATCGCCACGAGTAATTTGAGCCAAGAAAAAATAAAATCGGTCAAGCCGTTCCGGAGATACAAGCGGTCAAAAAGTGACGTTTTTCATGAAAATTAAGAAACGTCGTCTTCTTCTTCTTCTCTGTCCGCTGACGTCATCAGGATTATATATATATAAAATCTCTTCTCACCTTTCACTCACACCTCCCTCAACTTCCACCCACCTCTTTCCCTCCCACATCCCGTCCCCACGCCCCCACCCCCACCCCCACTCCAACCCTCTTTCGCCCTAATTCACCCTCTTTCGTCCTCTCTACCATCTTTCACCCTCTATCACCCTCTTTCACCCTCTTACCCTCTTTCACCCTCTTTCACCCTCTTTCGTCTCTTTCACCCCTTTCGTCCTCTTTCGTCCTCTTTCACCATCTTTCGCCTCTTTCACCCTTTTGTCCTCTCTCACCCTCTTTCACCCTCTTTCACCCTCTTTCACCCTCTTCACCCTCTTTCACCCTCTTTCGTCCTCTGACCCCTTTCGTCCTCTTCGTCCTCTTTCACCATCTTTCGCCTCTTTCACCTCTTTGTCCTCTCTCACCCTCTTCCGTCCTCTTACCCTCTTTCACCCTCTTTCGTCCTCTTTCACCCTCTTTCGCCTCTTTCACTCTCTTTCGTCCTCTTTCGTCCTCTGTCACCATGTTTCACCCTCTTTCGCCCTCTTTCACCCTCTTTCGCCCTCTCTCACCCTCTTTCATTTTCTCTAACCACTTTCACCCATTTTGGTCCTCTTTCACCCATATTCGTCATCTTTCACACCCCTTTCGTCTCTTTAAACCTCTTTACGTCCTCTTTCACAACTTTTCATTTCCTCTCGCCCTCTTTTGTCCTCTCTCACCCTCTTTCGTTCTCTTTCAAATCTTCGTCCTCTTTCACCCTATTTCGCATCTTTCACCTTCTTTCGTCCTCTTTCACCCTCTTTCACCTTCTTTCGTCCTCTTTCACCATCTTTCGCCTCTTTCACCATCTTTCGCCTCTTTCACACATCTTTCGTCCTCTCTCACCCTCTTTCATTCTCTCTCACCCTCTTTCACCCTCTTTCATTTCCTCTCACCCCCTTTCGTCCTCTTTCACCCTCTTTTGTCCTCTCTCACCCTCTTTCGTTCTCTTTCACCCTCTTTCGTCCTCTTTCACCCTCTTTCGCCTCTTTCACCTTCTTTCACCCTCTTTCGTCCTCTTTCACTCTCCTTTGTCCTCTCTCACTCTCTTTCATTCTCTCTCACCCTCTTTCGATCTCTCTCACCCTTTCGTCCTCTTTCACTCTCCTTTGTCCTCTCTCACTCTCTTTCATTCTCTCTCACCCTCTTTCGTCCTCTTTCACTCTCTTTCGTCCTCTTTCGTCTTCTTTCGCCCTCTTTCACCCAATTTCGTCCTCTTTCACCCTCTTTCGCCTATCTCGTCTTCTCTTACCCTCATTCGTCCTCTCTCACCCTATCTCCAAAAAATCATAAAAATGAAAAGGTCAAGCCATGTTCAAAAGAAGGTCCTCAAAAATTTAAACCTAGTCTGTACAATAAAAATAATTACTCGTAATTCCAGAGTTCCAATTTGTTAATGTCGAATAATGTATTTGTTTCAAGTAATGGCAGTAGAGTTAAATACATACCTACGTATATGCAGTTTTTCCTGTTAAATGTACTTGAACGAAAAAAATAATTAAATGATTTAAATATAGTACATTTTAAATCAAGAAACTTATACTATAATCGAACTCTGTTTAGAAAGAATGTTTGTTTCAATCACAATCACAATACCATTTTCTATTGTTTCTCTTATTATTATCAATAATGTTATTCATTAAATAATTATAGTATCAATAATGTTTTGCGATTTATTTAACAATTCATAATATGTTAGGGTTATAAAGTTCTATCTGTAGGGTTTTTATTTAAATAAAATGAAGAATGTATATATATGTATATTTATTTATTTATGTATATATGTAACAATGTAATATATGTATATATGTATATTATTATGTATATTATTACATATTATTCGGCGTTTCGCCGTCCCCGTCCTCGTCCGCCTTCTCTTCCGCCTCTCCTCGGCCTGTTGCCCCAATAATAATAGGGCGAGGATAATTTTAGGAGGAAGCGCATAAAGCGCTCCTCCTGGACGCGAACCCCGGCGCGTCTTCCTCTGTAAACTGTAATTAAAAAAGAAATTATTTTAGTAATTAGATAATATGGTATAATTAGGTATATCTAGGTATGGTATAAAATAATAAATGTATAATATTTTATAATAAAATGTTATAATAATATAAGGTTAATATTTATCTAAATATATAATATTTTATTCCTTAGAATATATTTCCTCAACTCTTCTCCCTTTCTTATCCCTCCTTTATTTCCTTCCTCCTTAATTCTTTCTTCCCCTCCTCCCCTCTTTCTCTCTCGCGCCCTAGCGTCTTCCTTCTTCCTCTCTTTCCCTCTCTTCTCTCTTCCTCCTTCTTCTCCTCTTTCCGCCCCTCTTTCTTCCTTCTTTCTTCCTCTCTCCTCTTTCTTTTTTCCTCCCTCTCTTCTCCTTTCCCTGTTTCTTCCCTTTCCTCCTTCCTTCCCTTCTCTCTTGCTTCCCCCCTCCCTGCGTTCGCTCCCTCTGCCCCCTTCGTTCCTGCGCTCGTCCCTGTCCTCTTTCTTTTTTCCTCCCTCTCTCCTGTCCTTCCTTCTTCCCTTTCCTCCTTCCTTGCTCCTTCTCCTTCTGCTCCTCTCATTATTCTTTGGGCCCTGATCTCAACATGAGAAAATTTAATTCCATATTCTCACAGATGTTACCATCATTTTCCTTTCATCAATTTTAAACTTTCCTGACTGAAATTTGAATCCGAGATAGATAGAGAATCGTACACCGCGTAACGGTTAAAGAAGAAATTAGCAATTATTGCATAACTGTGACGTATCGTTTATGTCAATAACGTAATGAATCTATAATTGTTACATAAAATTGTTATGTAATTTTGGCGTTACTTTATGTATTTATGTATTTTGGTTAATGTAAATGTGTATACTCTAAAAGTTTCGTAAATACTACGTAATTTTAATGACATAATTGTAACGTTATGTTAAATACGTAACATTTATGTATTTTGGTTAATGTAAATGTGTATATCCTAAAAGTTTCGTAAATGCTACATAATTCTAATAACTAATTGCAACGTTATATTAAATACGTAACAATATTTTGTTGACATCAATGTATACATTCTGTAAAAACTTTACATACATCATTACATACAGTATAATAACAAAATTGCGATATTTTTTTTATTTAATGTGACATCGCAATTTCGTTATTATAATTATATAATAGTTATAATAAGGTTCTTACAGAATATATACATTGATATCAACAAAATAATATTAATGTTACATATTTAACAGAACGTTACAATTATGTCATTAAAATTACGTAGTATTTACGAAACTTTTAGAGTATACACATTTATATTAACCAAAATACATAAATGTTACATAACAAAATAACACCAAAATTGCATAACAAATTCATTACGTTATTGACATAAATGATACGTCATTGTTTTGTTTCGCCGATCTATAACATATACATATATAGATTATTATGTAATTGTTTCGTAAATGATCCCTTCGTGTTTACTGGGTATCAGAGATGACAAAATATCAATTAAATTTTTTATAATTGAACAAATGATATGAACAGATTCAATTAAAATATTTTTAATTGACGATTAATTT